GTGTGTAAAAAGTATATTTATTATTTTTAATTTTATTTAAGTAAACATTTTACCAAACTATTAACATTAAACTTAATATAAGATAAGATAAACATATAAATAAAACATAAAAATAAAAACGTATAATAGCTTGACTTTCTAAGTGAACGCTCGTGTTTTTTTCTGCGCTCCGAATTTTTATATCTTTTCGTGTTTTCCTAGGACGGCTTAGATCAAAACTTTTAATATTCGGTCCTTAAATTGAATTTACATATGTTCTGTTTTTTTGTTTTTGTGATCTATATTGCTTTGTGCCTTTTCCGTAGAAGCTGCAGTGCCATTTTGTGATGTTGTTTTTGCCCTATGGACACATTGAAGCTGCCCAGTTTTGACTGGTCGTCTTGAAAGTGTCCATAGTTTGTGCAACCAAGGGTGCCGGGTATACCGGTCGAACTAGTGATGACCTGGTTAAGGGTCATAACTTATTGTATTGTTGTGATCCTTGCCTAGAAGTTGCGCACGAGACGCGATCTTTTATGAGCCAAACTAAAGGTGTATTAAAGGGTGTAATTAGTACCTTCGCCGCGGCTAGAGATAGTTTTCGCCGAGCAGATGGCCTTCGAGGTATTGGACTATATACAACATAAAACAAAGGCCAAAAACATTACCGTGGAAAGATTTAATTTTACCTATGGACACCTCGTCTTTTAATATCTGTCTTCCAAACGAGCTCTATTCAACCATATGTTCTGCATATTTCTGGCATGCACTCATGGTGGAATAGGAATAGGCATTCAAGAAAAAGAAAAAGACCTGTAGAAACAAGACTCCTACGCATGGAAATAACATTTTTAAATAGTTTTGAGTTTCGAACTTAATTTTATCAAAATCGGACGACTATATTTATAGCTGCCATAGGAACGATCGCAAAATTGGTGGGAAAATAATATGAAAAAAACTATGGCTTCGGTGTTTTTTGACATATTATATTATACTATTGGGAATATCATTGTTTGTATTTTTGAGAATTCCGAATTAAATTTACTAATTATAACTGCAGGGGTATACAAACTTCGGCTTGCCGAAGCTAAGTTCCCTTCTTGTTATTTATGTCTAACATATAGTCATATACGAACGGCCCTCAAGGGGCACGCTAAGGTTAATGTGGCCCTCAGTTGTCCGGTTTATGTGTATGAGCCTTGAGATGAGTTAAGAGGTTTTTTTGTCCACAACAATCGAGGTGTTTTTGGCGAAGGCAAAAAGTTCGCCTGGTTCCCTGCTGGAGGCGTCTCCTAGTGAAGCCACTACTGGGGCACCGAGGTAACTTCTTCTTGCTCGAGAGAGAGCCGGGCAATTGCAGATTAGATGTTCCAGGGTTTCGAGGCTGTTGAGTATTCCGAGTGTGGTTGCGTGTGATGCGGCCAGACAGTGGCCTGTGAGGACTCCCACTAACAGTCTGCAATCTTTCTGCGGTAGATGCGGCACATAGTGGCTGAGTGTATCGTTGCGCTCTTTGCACATAATTCTTGATTTTACTTTGCTAAATGCAAAATCTTTAAAAACTGCAACTTGGTTAACCAATATACATCACAATATTTTTTGGAATTAATATGATAATTGTCCAGAACCCGCGTTTCTATACTATTTCAGATGGTCTGTTTGGTTCTTGGCCGTAGGTAGGTGATTCAGCAGCGATGTGAATATTTCGCACAACATCTCAGTAGCATCGTCAATGTCATCAGGAATGTTCAGTGTTCATGTTGAGGGTAACTAAACCGTTCATAGCTTCCTGAAACTTTGGTATAGTCGAGTACCTCGACTATCAGATACCCGTTACTCAGCTAAATAGAGATATGCAAAGAGCAAAGCGAGATTAAAATGCGCCACCTACCGGCGGTATACAGATTTAAGCGTTATGGGCGTTAGAGTGGGCGTGGCAAAATTTTTTTTTGGACCAAACGATAGGTATTGACGAGACCAATACATTTCAGTTAAAATTTTTTATCTAGCATAAAAATTGTGGGCGTCACAGGTTTTCGACAGGGCGTCACAAAAAGTTTGTCACGCCCACTCTAACGCCCATAACGCTTAAAACTGTCTACCGCCGGTAGGTGGCGTATTTCAATCTCGCATTGCTGCTTGCATATCTCCATTTCCCTTTGGTCCCTTTAGCTGAGTAACGGGTATCTGATAGTCGAGGTACTCGACTATAGCGTTCTTCCTTGTTATACTGTTACTCGTAGAGTAAAAGGGTATACTAGATTCGTCGGAAAGTATGTAACAGGCAGAAGGAAGCGTTTCCGACCCCATAAAGTATATATATTCTTGATCAGGATCACTATCCGAGTCGCTCTAGCCATGTCCGTCTGTCCGTCTGTCCGTATGAACGCTGAGATCTCGGAAACTATGAGAGTTACAATACTGGGATTAGGCACGCAGATTCCTGAGATTCCTGCGCAGCGCAAGTTTGTTTCAGTAGAGTGCCACGCCCACTCTAACGCCCACAAACCGCCCAAGACTGTGGCTCCTACAGTTTTGATGCTAGAATAAAAATTTTAACTGAAATGTAATGTTCTCATCAATACCTAACGATTGACCCAAAAAAAATTTTCCACGCCCACTTTAACGCCCACAAACCGCGAAAACCTGTGACGCCCAAAATTTTTATGCTAGATAAAAAATTTTAACTGAAATGTATTGGTCTCGAAAATACCTATCGATTGGTCCAAAAAAAATTTGCCACGCCCACTCTAACGCCCATAACGCTTAAATCTGTATACCGCCGGTAGGTGGCGCATTTTACTCTCGCTTTGCTGCTTGCATATCTCCATTTAGCTGAGTAACGGGTATCTGATAGTCGAGGTACTCGACTATAGCGTTCTTCCTTGTTTTATATTATTTTTTATGACAACAAGAATTTTCTCCAAAAAGGGGCGTTGCCACGCCTTTTTCTGTTAATTTGCTAATTATAAGCCCAAATATAGGAACCGAACTCAAATATTTGGTTTTGCTTGAAGTTTTTAATTTTGGCCACAAAAAGTGTTCAGCCAGCCTATAGTGCGATGATGCGCACTCCATTCCCCTGCAATTATAAAATTTGGTCGAAGATCACTTAGAAGCTCTTCGTAGTGGTTAGCTGTGAGCTGAGAATTTTGGGGACAATATATAGACGCAATGACTACTTTCCCTTGGTCAGTTTTGACGTTGACCGCAACACACTGAGCCGTTTGGTGTTCCACACATAAGAATTGGTAGTATTCAAGGCACGTCATTTTGGTCAATTAACTGATAAAAAAATCAACGAGTTGTCTTTATATTATGGATTAGCTATTCGTCGTCATCCTGATTCTGCTGAAGATATGAAACGCGAGATATGGGCAACTTATTTCCATAAAAGTTCAACTGATAAGAATCCCGCGCACATGAATTGTCCACCTGGACCAGACAGTTGGTGCAAGTGGCAGAAAGCAGCGGCTGAAGATACTCTGGATGACTTTTCCCACGAGGATCCACCTCTAACTGATAAGGTTTTAGAAGTTTTGAAGCCTATTTATGAAAGCTTGTCGGATGATTCTTTATTAGACCGTTGTTTGGGTTGTGAAACTTAAGATAACAACGAGTCGCTCAATTCTTTGATACGGACGTTTGCACCCAAACATATTCATGCTGGATTCCAGACAATTGAAATTGCAAATTATTTAGCAGTCTGTATTTTTAATGAAGGTTTTTATCGTATTCTTAATATTATGAAACTTATGGGAATTAAAATCGGCCTAGAATCTCATGGGTTTGCTGTCAGGCGCAACGCTGTAAGGATCCAACGGTCTGAGGTCCGAGCTTCAGATGCTTCAAAAGAAGGAAGAACTGCTCGTTATCATAAAAGAACTGCTAAAATTAATGGATATAAAGTAGAAGAAGGCCCAATGTATGAAGCTGGGATGGCTGATTAAGAGAATGTAAGTTATTCGTGCTATTCTATCAGTTACACTGCCTGAAATTATCGTAAAACTTTAAACGCGTTTTTCTCCAAACTACTTTTTCTGATACGGTAGCCATAATATTTCAAGTTCTTATCAGCCGATTTACTTAAAATTTGGCATGAATATTATTTCAATATCTCTCTATCGCATGAACCAATAAAAAGTAAGAATTTAAAATTTGTAATATTTTTAAAAAATTCGATGAAATTAAAAAATTAGTAAAAAAAATCGACCTTTCTTTGAGTGGTTTTTTTTTAGTTTTGCTGGTTCATGACATAGCGACATGCGTACTGATTAAGAATCTTTTTTTTTTTCAGATGACCACAAGGGTAGAAATCATGGCGACGAGGACACGGCCTTTTTTTCCCCTCATAACTCGATGAAAAAAAATTTTTTTTTTTTAATTTTATTTTATGTACTTTTCTAAGTTAAATAAATAAATGATAAAAAACTCGACCGTAAAAATATCATTTGTTTAGTTTTAACAAATTGTTAAAAAAGGCTCGAAACTAGAGCCTCTAGACTAGAATACCCCCTTAACTGATAAAAAAATCAACGAGTTGTCTTTATATTATGGATTAGCTATTTGTCGTCATCCTGACTCTGCTGAAGATATGAAACGCGAGATATGGGCAACTTATTTCCATAAAAGTTCAACTGATAAGAATCCCGCGCACATGAATTGTCCACCTGGACCAGACAATTGAAATTGCCAATTATTTAGCAGTCTGTATTTTTAATGAAGGTTCTTATCCCATTCTAAGTATTATGAAACTTATGGGAATTAAAATCGGCCTAGAATCTCATGGGTTTGCTGTCAGGCGCAACGCTGTAAGGATCCAACGGTCTGAGGTCCGAGCTTCAGATGCTTCAAAAGAAGGAAGAACTGCTCGTTATCATAAAAGAACTGCTAAAATTAATCGATATAAAAAAAAAACAAAAAAATTTGCCACGCCCACTCTAACGCCCATAACGCTTAAATCTGTATACCGCCGGTAGGTGGCGCATTTTACTCTCGCTTTGCTGCTTGCATATCTCCATTTAGCTGAGTAACGGGTATCTGATAGTCGAGGTACTCGACTATAGCGTTCTTCCTTGTTTTATATTATTTTTTATGACAACAAGAATTTTCTCCAAAAAGGGGCGTTGCCACGCCTTTTTCTGTTAATTTGCTAATTATAAGCCCAAATATAGGAACCGAACTCAAATATTTGGTTTTGCTTGAAGTTTTTAATTTTGGCCACAAAAAGTGTTCAGCCAGCCTATAGTGCGATGATGCGCACTCCATTCCCCTGCAATTATAAAATTTGGTCGAAGATCACTTAGAAGCTCTTCGTAGTGGTTAGCTGTGAGCTGAGAATTTTGGGGACAATATATAGACGCAATGACTACTTTCCCTTGGTCAGTTTTGACGTTGACCGCAACACACTGAGCCGTTTGGTGTTCCACACATAAGAATTGGTAGTATTCAAGGCACGTCATTTTGGTCAATTAACTGATAAAAAATCAACGAGTTGTCTTTATATTATGGATTAGCTATTCGTCGTCATCCTGATTCTGCTGAAGATATGAAACGCGAGATATGGGCAACTTATTTCCATAAAAGTTCAACTGATAAGAATCCCGCGCACATGAATTGTCCACCTGGACCAGACAGTTGGTGCAAGTGGCAGAAAGCAGCGGCTGAAGATACTCTGGATGACTTTTCCCACGAGGATCCACCTCTAACTGATAAGGTTTTAGAAGTTTTGAAGCCTATTTATGAAAGCTTGTCGGATGATTCTTTATTAGACCGTTGTTTGGGTTGTGAAACTTAAGATAACAACGAGTCGCTCAATTCTTTGATACGGACGTTTGCACCCAAACATATTCATGCTGGATTCCAGACAATTGAAATTGCAAATTATTTAGCAGTCTGTATTTTTAATGAAGGTTTTTATCGTATTCTTAATATTATGAAACTTATGGGAATTAAAATCGGCCTAGAATCTCATGGGTTTGCTGTCAGGCGCAACGCTGTAAGGATCCAACGGTCTGAGGTCCGAGCTTCAGATGCTTCAAAAGAAGGAAGAACTGCTCGTTATCATAAAAGAACTGCTAAAATTAATGGATATGAAGTAGAAGAAGGCCCAATGTATGAAGCTGGGATGGCTGATTAAGAGAATGTAAGTTATTCGTGCTATTCTATCAGTTACACTGCCTGAAATTATCGTAAAACTTTAAACGCGTTTTTCTCCAAACTACTTTTTCTGATACGGTAGCCATAATATTTCAAGTTCTTATCAGCCGATTTACTTAAAATTTGGCATGAATATTATTTCAATATCTCTCTATCGCATGAACCAATAAAAAGTAAGAATTTAAAATTTGTAATATTTTTAAAAAATTCGATGAAATTAAAAAATTAGTAAAAAAAATCGACCTTTCTTTGAGTGGTTTTTTTTTAGTTTTGCTGGTTCATGACATAGCGACATGCGTACTGATTAAGAATCTTTTTTTTTTCAGATGACCACAAGGGTAGAAATCATGGCGACGAGGACACGGCCTTTTTTTCCCCTCATAACTCGATGAAAAAAAAATTTTTTTTTTTTAATTTTATTTTATGTACTTTTCTAAGTTAAATAAATAAATGATAAAAAACTCGACCGTAAAAATATCATTTGTTTAGTTTTAACAAATTGTTAAAAAAGGCTCGAAACTAGAGCCTCTAGACTAGAATACCCCCTTAACTGATAAAAAAATCAACGAGTTGTCTTTATATTATGGATTAGCTATTTGTCGTCATCCTGACTCTGCTGAAGATATGAAACGCGAGATATGGGCAACTTATTTCCATAAAAGTTCAACTGATAAGAATCCCGCGCACATGAATTGTCCACCTGGACCAGACAGTTGGTGCAAGTGGCAGAAAGCAGCGGCTGAAGATACTCTGGATGACTTTTCCCACGAGGATCCACCTCTAACTGATAAGGTTTTAGAAGTTTTGAAGCCTATTTATGAAAGCTTGTCGGATCGTTCTTTATTAGATCGTTGTTTGGGTTGTGAAACTCAAAATAACAACGAGTCGCTCAATTCTTTGATATGGACGTTTGCACCCAAACATATTCATGCTGGATTCCAGACAATTGAAATTGCCAATTATTTAGCAGTCTGTATTTTTAATGAAGGTTCTTATCCCATTCTAAGTATTATGAAACTTATGGGAATTAAAATCGGCCTAGAATCTCATGGGTTTGCTGTCAGGCGCAACGCTGTAAGGATCCAACGGTCTGAGGTCCGAGCTTCAGATGCTTCAAAAGAAGGAAGAACTGCTCGTTATCATAAAAGAACTGCTAAAATTAATCGATATGAAGTAGAAGAAGGCCCAATGTATGAAGCTGGGATGGCTGATCAAGAGAATGTAAGTTATACGTGCTATTCTATCAGTTACACTGCCTAAAATTTAACGTAAAACTTTAAACGCGTTTTTCTCCAAACTACCTTTTCTGATTCGGTAGCCATAATATTTCAAGTTCTAATCAGCCGATTTACTTAAAATTTGGCATGAATATTCTTTCAATATCTCTCTATCGCATGAACCAACAAAAAATAAGAGCGGGGGATTTCTATTTTTTTATTTTATTTTTACTAAGTTTATAATTGAATTTGAGTTCGAAGTAGAGGTATTTTACAGGATCAACAAAGTGCAACTGTTTCCTTTTGATCTTTATTTTACTTGTTTTCGCGATAAATCAGATCTAACGAAGCGTTTGAGCACTGTCGCTGCAGCTTTAGCTGTCACAAAATCAAATTGATCGCAGCGATGCAAAAACCTGTCTGCACTCCACGAAAGCATTATCGAGACTGGTACTTTGCTGTTATGGGAGAAATTCATTTGTTGGACAAGGTAACTATTCCATGGGTGTAGACCATTTAACCGTTATATTGGTAAAATTGACCGCAGGGGTGTTCAGCGTATCTTGTGAATCTCATAAAGATTGCACATAATTAAAAATATTGTTCGTTTAAATATTCTCCTCCAAATTCTACACATGATGAATAGTAACTTGGAAATCTTTTACAAATTAGATTGGTAGAATTCACTATTAAATACTTAATTACAATAAAGTAGTAAGACTACTATACAAATAATACAACTAATGTAAAAATAGTGAAATAGTAAATAGTAAAAGAAAAACAAGGAAGAACGCTATAGTCGAGTACCTCGACTATCAGATACCCGATACTCAGCTAATGGGACCAAAGGCAAATGGAGATATGCAAGCAGCAAAGCGAGATTGAAATGAGCCACCTACCGGCGGTAGACAGATTTTAGCGTTATGGGCATTAGAGTGGGCGTGGCAAATTTTTTTTTGGATCAATCGATTGGTATTGACGAGACCAATACATTTCAGTTAAATAATATTTTATCTAGCATGAAAATTGTGGGCGCCACAGGCTTGAGCGGTTTGTGGGCGTTAGAGTGGGCGTGGCACTCTGCTGAAACAAACTTGAGCTGCGCAGGAACCTCAGGAATCTGCCTAATCCCAGTATTGTAGCTTGTATAGTTTCCGAGATCTCAGCGCTCATACGGACAGACGGACATGGCTAGATCGACTCGGCTAGTGATCCTGATCAAGAATATATATACATTATGGGGTCGGAAACGCTTCCTTCTGCCTGTTACATACTTTCCAACGAATCTAGTATACCCTTTTACTCTACGAGTAACAGGTATAAAAATATTGTTCGTTTTTAAACGGTCAAATTTAGAACTAATCTCATAAAACCAAATTCTACAAATGATGTTTAGTAAATTGGGAATCGCATACAGTCGCAAACTATAACAAGCAAAAACAGAAAAACTTTACAAATATAGTTAAACTACTAACTAATAGTAAAACTACTGTAAAAATACTGTAAAAATAGCAAATTTACTATAAAACAGTAAAACTACCATAAAATGGTAAGCTGGCCATAGAAAACAAACTAAACATTAGTAAGACCTCCATAAAATAGAAACGAGTGTTTAATTTGCTGTTATAAGAGTTATTCATTTCTTGAACAAAGTAACAATTTCGAGGTGGTGGCCTATTTAACTGTATATTGGTCTAATTGACTGAAGGGTTTTTTGAAAAGGAAAAAAGCAATTTCAATTTAATAAGCTTAATTTATTGGCAATTTAAAAGTTGTCACACAAAATGTTGTTCAGCATATACTATGATTCGCATAAAGATTGCACAATCAAAAACGTTGATCATTTTTAGATTTCTAATTTTAGGACCATTCTCATAAAACTAAATTCTGCAAATTATGTTTAGTTCGGTTTCGATTCTTGTGTTCCGTTATACTATCCGTCAGTCCCAACAAGTTACATTGGTTTAGTAAAGAGCTGACACTCTAAGAAATAAGAAGTCCAGACTTTGTAGGAAATACAAAGATACCGGCTATCAATGTATTTATTCTATATTCTTAACTGCTCGGTCTAGTTTTACCGGGCAAAACTCTCTGTGTTACAAAAACTATTTAAATCGTTGTAAACTCCAAATGTCTAAAAATTCGAAAAAGTTATATAATATTGTTAGCACTAAGCGTAAATCTACACATTATCTTTCCTCGTTATCTTTTTAAAATATTACTGCAACCACTTATCAGGCAATAGCCGATATATTTGCCAAATTTTTCAAACGACATATTCTACATTACATCATTTTTCACAGCCTTATTCTTACACTGTATCCAAGTCTTATTTAATATTCTGTCTTACCCTAAACGATAGCTGTCTACTTTTATTTCCCTTAATGCGGAAGGAATCGCTTGTAATTCCTCTCCTCAAGAGGGTTAGCAAAGTGAATGCAAATAATTAAAGAAGTATCTCTAAATTGTCAGCGAACCCAAAGCTTTTCGAAAACATTATTACTCCCCATTTGCAGCACCTCTGTAGGTCAATTATATCTCCGTGTCTCTTTGAAGCTTACTTTATTCGTGATAAGGAGACTTACAAAATTTTAAAACAGGCGTTATTAACACGGACTTTAGTAAAGCATTTGACTCTGTAAATCTTCCGGTTACAAAACTCGATTTATTAGGGTTCCTTGTTGATCTTTTATGATGGATGTCAAGCTACCGGTTGTGTTTATTTCAAAGATTCCGTGTTACATTTTGTTCTATCATCAAAACTGTAGGAGCCACAGTCTTGTGCGGTTTGTCGGCGTTCGAGTGGGCGTGGCACCCTGCTGAAACAAACTCGGCTAGTGATCCTGATCAAGAATATATATACATTATGGGGTCGGAAACGCTTCCTTCTACGAGTAACGGGTATAAAAAAGAATCTTCACCAATCCAATGACAGTACTCGTAAGTCTGTACTACTCAGTAATACTCAGGCTTCTGTCGTATATGTGAACTTACTTTCCCCCCTTTCTAATAGAGAAAAGCCCTCATACTTAAGAACGAATAATAATTTTGCTGTTTTGTCTTATAATGAAGAAACAACGAACTCTACGTGTCACGGATTTTAGGCTACTGATTGCATTATTATCACCTGTGACTACTGGCTTTCGCCTTAAGACGACTGGTCGATCCTCCTATAGAATTTCTGTGGATAATGACAGTATATATAATTTAACTGAGGTTCGTAAAATCATTGCCAGACGTAAAGAACTGGGGCACAAGCCTTGGAACGTATATAACCCACCTGGTGAAAATGGTAAGGCCAAACGAGACATATTCTTTGTTCTATTAGAACCAGCTTAAAACAACAAAGATGCTTATAACATTCAAGTAATAGACTATCAAGTGGTTACAATAAATGCACAGATTCAAGGAAATGATACTTTAAGGTGTTTCAAATGTCAATCATTTAACCATTCGAAAAACTTTTGCTTCTTTTTACCTAAATCTGCTAGTTGTGCTGGCGAACTTGACAGCAAGGACAAGGATAAATGCCCAGCACTGAAAGAGGATCAGTTTAAATGCATCAACTGTGGGTCAAATCATAGTGCTTCCTCATGCGGTTGTCCTGCCTATTTAGAACAGTATGAGAAACGTAAGTCCAACAGCACTTCAGAACGACAACGGACTCAAAAGCAAACTATTGTTGCACCGCTCCCGAGTCAGAATGCTTGGTATCCTTTGCGCCCTCCTATTTCCTAAAGTCACCCATTGATGGCATCAAATTCGTTTCAAAATGTGTTGCTTCCGCTAGGCCAGCCTAACTTTGAAAATGCTACTACAACCTGCTCAGGACAGGATCTTGGAATTTATTAATAATTTACATAAGCAGCAAGAGGCTGCTGAATGCCTTAGCGGCGACATTTGAAAAACTGCTGGAACGCTTTGATCAAATGATGTCATTCATGACGTCGACGCTGCAAATGTTACAGAGCGTGACGTCTAAGCACGGCGTAGAGTCAACGCGCCGCAATGACTAACTACGGATTAAGTTCCATAATTTGAAACGCTAACAATTTAGTTAGCAAATCCTTAGAGTTTGAGCATCTCCTCCAGGAACGTAACATTGACATTTTGTTAATCTCAGATACAAATTTTACCAGCCGTTCTTTCTTTCGATTCCATGGATATGCTGTGCACTGCGGCAACCACCCCGATGATAGAAATAGTGGTGGAGCTGCTGTCATTAACAAACCGTCCCTGGACTATCACCTGAGCACCACAATAACTGAGCCTCACCTGCAAGCCATTGCCATGGCAGCTCAATTTGGTCACGTCGTTAGGAAGAATTTCGTTTAACACAGCTTACTGTCCTTCTGGACAGCCTTCTGCGCCTTTTCGGCTCTGTGGGTAGCCGCCATTCTGACACTCTGATGTCTGTTGTCTCTTGCTCATCCCTGCATCATCCATGATCAATGATCATCTTCCGACTCCCATTGATTTTGCAGTGTACAGAGGTATCCCGCGCAGCCACCCATCCATCTCTGTGTGTTAGGGCCTTTCCTCTGATATATTCCTCTCCTGATATATTTCTCTGTTGCTGCCTATAACGTCATTGCCAAAAATAGGCTTTTACGTCGGGGCTCCGATATTAGAAGTTTCAGTGCCAAGCTCACTGCTTTGACTGAAGAAAACCCTCCGTTTGTCACTACGGATGACGTTGATTCCATTGCTCAGGTTTTGGTAGACAAGCTCCATCAAGCTGCCCTTCCTGCTGGAATTGTACCTATTCCGCCACTAACATGGGCTTCTTCGAAATCTGAAATTGCAGTCTTGGCCAGAAAAGGTCGTACACATTGCCGCGTTTGGATGGGGACAAGGCATACCCTGGTCTTGGTAAGGTACAAGACTGCCGTGTCAGAACTCAGAAAAGTCCTCCGATTGACCAAATCAGAATGTTTGTGAATTATCTCAGTGCCATTGGTCCCAACCAAGATCATGGATTCGCAATATAGTAATGAACACGTA